ACCCTATATAAAAGAAACTGATGTAACAAAGTCACCATAGACAATTCTGTGTTTCGTCTGAGCTTATTTTTTATGGGCTAGATTGAGTTAACCTTACTCACACTGACTCACACTTACGTCATAAGTAGCACAACTAAGACTTGTTTTTTTGGGAGGAGGGGGTGTATATGGGGAGGGGGACAAGGAGGGCTCTTTTTTCTCAACCCCACTTTTGTTTTCTTTTAATTATAAAAATGGTCAATGACTTCCCTACCACCTGACCTTTGTATTCATGGTTAAAGGGTCAGTCACTTCTGTTTGATTTTTAAAAATGAGAATGGAGGAGTACATGAAATATTCAAATATAAGCCACTCCAATGAGTGGATCTGCAGAGCCATTTGAAGGAGGTAACTTCTTTTAAATCCCAATACTCTGATAAGGTACATTTGTGAATCACAAAGTACAGTGAAAATCTTGGGGTTTTGGCTAACTCCCGTCTTCACAATGAAAAAAAGCTATATCTTTTGTAGAGCATGTCTCCTTTTGCCATGTTTCTTGCATTGTCTCCTTCAATAGGGCATGAAAAATATGTTTTGTTTCTTAAATATAAGATTTCCAAATACAATTAAATTACGCTTGTTAAAGCTGGGCAGCAATTGGCCATTCAAACCTGATCCTCTTGCCTGCAATTGTATTAACTCCAGGGCATTAAGAACTGTAGTTGGGATGCTGACACCCCATTAAAATACAATGAGAAACTTTTTGGAAGGGGGGTATTAGACCTCAAATCACTTTTACAAAAATTTTACCTGGAGTGAATAAGGAGCAGAGCACCAGGATCCATTTAAAAATGGATTATTGTAACCCCATTGTGCTGCAACCTCTACTGAAGTCCATAGATAAGTGTAGTGACTATGATGTGATGCTTTGACTAGCAGGCTCCTCCTCTTCACTTGCTGCTCCTCCTCTTCACTTGCTGCCCTTCACCTGCTTAAACCCATCTTTGTCACCTCCTTTTAGGCAAAGTGCATTCTGTCCACAGAAGCCAACTGCTAAAGGCTTATTGTTTAATAATCTCTGCTTTCTTCTTTCAGGCTACAAGACCCTGCTGAAAGGAATTTCAGGAAAATTCAGCAGTGGAGAACTTGTTGCAATTATGGGTCCTTCTGGGGCTGGGAAATCAACTCTCATGAATATCTTGGCAGGATACAGGTTAGTAAAAAAAAGAAATATTGACTTATGTTGACAAAAACAGAGGAATCATACCTAGTATCTCTGTAAAATAAGTACTTCACACGACATATTACACTCTCGTCATCATCATCATGTTCCTACGTTATACATTGGAGGCTTCTGACTTAACCACTGAAATGCAAAAAGAGATCAGTAAATAAGAATGCAGTTTATTCATTTAAATCCAAAAAGTGAAAAATGTCTGCTTAGTAGCCAGCTAATGAATTTGGCTTAAGGTTTTCTTATATATACAGTATTTTAAAACAAGTTTGTAAACACTTGCGGATATTGTTCCATCCATATTTTTAGAGTGTATGAATAGTTGTTGATTTTAAACCTCAAGCACAGGAAAGTTTGGTAGTTCTTTCTCACTCCTGTTGCCTGCACAAGAAGAAGCACAGAGTTGCGTTCTGCTGCTGTCACCACATGAGAGGGAGCAGGGGCAGAGATCTCTTTCCCCTCCTCCTCCCACACCACACGTCAAAGAAAAAGCATTCCAAAAAATGGTCCAGTATTTCTGCAGACATCCAAAAAGGCAAACACATTTTTTACCAACTTGAATTAGTTTTTTTGCCAACCTGTGAAGTTTCTCAGCAAGTAACACACACACAACACACGTATGCACATGTGGAATAAGTACACTTTCATGTATTGTAAAGTCCAGCAGTGGTTTTTTTCCAGTAAGCTAAGAGGAGGCTAGGAGTGCCCTATAGGCCTGCTTGCTGGGATGTATAAGGAAGCCTGGAATAGTAAGAGCCACTCTGGTTTGTGCTCTTGTTTCATTTCAGAGAGACCGGGATGAAAGGCGAAATTCTCATTAACGGACAGCCACGTGACCTGCGCAGTTTTCGCAAAGTGTCCTGTTACATCATGCAAGATGATATGCTGCTCCCTCATCTCACTGTCCAGGAAGCCATGATGGTGAGCTTAATTGCTAATTCTAATGGGATTGGAGCAGGGGACTAGAATCATAGAAGTAGGGTCGGAAGGGACCTTGTAGCT